GGGCTCCGGCGACAGCGACGACTTCCTGCGCTGCGCGCGCATGATCTACCACGGCGCCGAGGGTCTCCTGGGTCACACCAACGCGACAGGCGGTCGCGCGGATGAGGAGGAGGCGCGGCGATTGCGGAAGAGAAGGAGGTGCGGGAGAGGATGCGTTGCGGCAGAGAGGTAGATGCGGGAGAGGATGCGGAGGGAGGTGGGGGACACGCGCGCTGATATAGGACGTTGGATCCAAATTCTTCAGATGGGTTTCGACCGTTGGACGTGTGACATGATGAATGAGTAAAACCATTTGTTTAAGAAAAAAGTCTAAATACCCCCCTAAACTTTAGATAAAAGTCCGTCTAGCACCCTGAACTTTAAAACCAGATATCCAACCCCTAAACTTTGTAAAACCGTTCATATTACCCACTATGGTGGTTTTGTATAGTGGTTTTTATCTAATTCGTATATAAATTGGATGAGTTTGATCACGTGACATACACATCAGACATATATATTAAAATCTCCACTTAAATCTTTCTTTTTACCACTTTTTAGCTCTCTTACAAACAAGTACCAACATAATAATAGCACGGTATCGCTGTATAAGTATAAATTGATGACTTACAACTGATGATATGTAAATATGTTATATATGTTATTTAAAGTTATTCGTTTAAGCTTTTAAAATATGCAAAACCACCATCCAAAACCACCTTAGGGGGTAATATAAACGGTTTTGCAAAGTTTAGGGGGTTGAATGTCCGGTTTTAATGTTTAGGGTGCTAGATGGACTTCCATCCAAAGTTTAGGGGGGTATTTGGACTTTTTCCTTTGTTTAACTATAGGGTAGAAGATGAAAGGGCTATAATAACGTATCACATAGGTTCGTTTATAGTTTATGAGTTACGCTACACAATGCATACATTTGATTGCAGAAAGTATAGTGCATACAGAACTCATTTCCAAAGAATATAACTGTTTCAACGTTCACCAATGACCAGACGATCATAGCATGAGACTTCATGCATGACCATCAAGTTTGAGCACTGTCAAGGTATATATCCTTTAGTTTTGCCACGTTGGACACAGTCTCGCATCTCCTACAAGTTTCAACCACAGGATGTCAGTCATACACCGCCATTGATATATTGTTGAACTAGCAAGTACATAACTGTCGGGTCCCGAAACTAATGATTCGAAAACCGATATATTTAACTGTATCAAGCCCTGAATCAGTAGATTGATACAGGTTCAACAATCTGAATTTTCATTACATACATTTGAATGTCTCTAAAGGAGATTTTATTATAACATAATAGGGTATTTACAAGTTTGTGGCTAACTATTATTACAACAGAAGCTATAGAATGACTCAACTCTAATGTTTTGCTATAGACTTAAACCATCTAACTACGCTAGACTTGGAAGTTAAGTTGGAATGAAACTAACTTATATGATTAAACTCCCGGCTTTGGCAAAATCTCCAAAATGACTCTAAAAAGGTGGGGTTGAAGCAAGGGTGAGTACAATGTACTCAGCAAGCTATTATATTCAATATTGAATGCATGAAATGATAATATCTTAGTAGAGCTAGATTTACTTGCAGAAAGCTGAGAATAAAGAGGGACAAAGCCTATGATGTTTGAAATGCATCAATATTTAATAAAATCTTCAATTAGGTTTCTAACCAAATACCATATGAGTCCCGATACTCAAGTCCATGAGCACGGCTATTCGAATAGTTTTAAGAATATTCATACTGCAGTAGATGTACGCTTTACCCGCAGTCCATAACTTGCCAATAATCATTAGCTTAGTCATGGCCCAGTATTAGGTTACTAACAATAGTGGTACCTGTTCCGTGAACTCTAGTCCTCATGCGCTCTGAACGTAACGTTATCAGCAGCGAGAGTAGTTCTGGCGTTCTCGAGGTTTTTCGAGAGAACTAGTTGAGAGACCCCCCGTCATCTCAATCAGGTTTTCACAATTCACACATACAGCTCGCGAGATAATCAAGATATTTACCTGCGCCTCGGTAAATATTACAATCGCCCTGCTCGGCGTAAGTTTGCCTCCTGCGCGAGAACTTAAATAAGAACCACTACACAGAGATACCACATTATTAATTGACATAATAACTAGGTATATCCCCATTCTAGAAGCTGCGGTCATACCTGTTCGTTTGACATAAGTATTTGGTGAACAATTATATCGACTGAGACAGCACTAGCCACCCGGAAATCAACCAATTCCTACGTACTGTCCCAATCTAAGTTTATTATATTTTTATGCAATCTAACTAGGCAAGGCTAAGCAAAAGCTAGCATATTTGGTTTACTATGTTCAGGTTATGCATTTGAAATCATGTATGACTAATGCATAGAATAATAGAGGCATGGAATATGGGACAATTATGCTCAAAGGAGAGGGATAATAACTTGCCTTGCTCCAACGTAAATAAATCCAATATAGCAGCCTGATTATCGATTCTTGAAATACCATAGGTTGCCATCCAAAAGATAATAGACTCTACTTGAAGGAAGAGCCAAATTCAATAAAAGCCATAAAATAGAAAGAGAACGATAAATGGTTAAAAGGGCTATGGTTTAGGGTATATTCTATTTCCTTTATAGGGTATAGGGATTATTGGGCTAGTATTTGCTGGCGGTAGGTTTAGGTAGTATAAGGTTTAGTTGTTTGCTAGTCGTTGCTAGAGTTGGGTAGCATAACGACTTGATTTGGTATCTTCTTTAGCCGGTGTCAACAGACAGCATGACGGTTAGAGGAATAGGAAGTTTAGCGGTGTGGAAGTGTTACTCCGACAACCGTGAGTGGCGGCGGAGTGGTTAGGATCACACAGAGCTCAAGAACTAACTGTGCGGCGTGCTGTAAAGGTCGAGGGAATAGTGAGCTCCGACCGTTGTACGCATCGAGGCGTGGAGTGTCGAGAGCAGCACTTCGACCTTGGGTTTGGGTTTTGCCGGGCTTTACAACCAACGGTTCAACGTCGGGGATAGTAAACCGCGAACGTCCCCATGGAAGGCGTAAAGTTTCAACCGGCGGCTTTTTAGTGGCTTAAGGGGTAGTTTGGGATAAAAGAAAATATTTGAAAGACAAATATAAATTCAAACGGTATTTGAATAAATTCAAATAAAATAGCAAATTGGGTTTCAAAATGAAGCATTTGAATTTAGATGAATTTATGTCCAAGTTTTACTGGAATCGGATCTACTGTTTAGGAGATATGGGCTTCTAAAGAATATGATTTGAATTAAATCTAGAAATGTGAAAATGCACTGTGTATAGGCCCACCTGTCAGCCTTTCTTTTTCCTTTTCTTCTTCTTCTTTTCGTTCTCTTCTTTCTGTCTCACAGTGAGCCGAGAGAAGAGAGAGGAGAGGCCGAGTGGGGCGGCGGTGCTCCAGTGGCTGGGAGGCTGCGACGTCGGCGGAGGTTTGTGTTCCCGAGCGACGCGCACCCGGGGAGGGTGGTGGATGGAAGAGAGGAAGAGGGATGTGGCCGGAACGGCGAGTAGAAGAGCTTATCTCCGGTGGTAAAGAGAGGGGTGGTGGTGGCTTGATTCAAGGGGAAAAGGAAGGGGAGATGGGCAAAATGGATTCGCCGGAGTGGAGCCAGCATAGTGGCGCAAGGGAAGAGGAAGGGGAACTACGAAGGAGGAGATCGGCCGACGGCGGCGACGGCCGGACATGGATGGAGGGAGAGAGAGAGAAAAGAGCTTCAAGCTCGATGTGAGGAAATGATGGGGTATTGCCGGCTATTTATAGGCGACGAAGGGCGGTGGTCAATGGCGGTTTGCAGAGGGGAAGAGGGAGTTGGCCTTGGTGGCGGCGACGTGAGAAGGAAGGCGACGGCGCCGGCTGTGGCCTGTGATTGGTCGGCGACGGCGGCGCATACACGCGGCGGTCGCGGGAGGGTTGGCTGGCGGCAGTGGAGTGCACGGCACAGCGACGGCTTGCCGTGGTTGGCAAGGCAGCGGCGGCGGCAAGCGTACGCGCGCCACGCGCGCCCATGGCGCCGGCGGCAGCGCCCACAGAAAGGAAAAAATACACCGAAGGTCCCTCAACTTGTCACCGAGTTACAAAATCATCGCCTTTTGTTTTCTCCCCTTCAGCGGCCTCGAGCCTCCTTTGCGCCCCCTTTCTCATAGAAGCCGCTGGGTTGACCCCGAGAGCCGCTGGGTTGACCCAGAGGGCCGAATTCAATGGTAGAGAAGGCTTTAATAAGAATTTAGCCATGAGTGACCTTTTTAAGTATTGCAAAAGAAGAGGCCTGCTGATAGAGCTGGGCGGGAAGCGATACTAGTTATCAGGTTAGAGAAAGGCCTGGCCCGTAAGCTGGCCCCCCTTTAAAAGCCATTCCTTATTAATAAGGATTTGTTACGCGCGATATGCCGACGACTTACTACTGGAAATCGTGGGTGCCGTATTTCTTCTCATAGAAATACAAAAACGTATCACCCACTTCCTACAATCCGGCCCGAACCTTTGGGTGAGCTCCGCAGAATCAACAACCATAGCTACACGGAGTACGGTAGAATTCCTCGGTACGGTCATTCGGGAAGTTCCCCCGAGGACGACTCCCATACAATTCCTGCGAGAGCTGGAGAAGCGTCTACGGGTAAAGCACCGTATCTAGAGGTGAGTGAGCCTACGACCACCAATTGCTTATCGGCAAATATTATGCGGCGCATGAGGGGCGAGCGAGGGGGCATGCCAAGTCAGCAAAAAGCTACAGTCCTACAGTGCCCGGGGTGGTTGTTTTGCGAGAAAGCCCTCCGGTTTGTTCGTAATTCCGAGTAGGTCCCTTCCGAACAGTGCCCCTGAGGCGATATTGTGCGTAAGGACCCTTCTAAAATCCTGATATTACATGCGCAGGAGGGGAGAAACGCGAAATAGGAGCTCTATGTAAAAATATAAAGTCTAGGGGCTTTTTCGCAAAAGTGCCGCGCACTGACCCCCTTGCCGCCTCTCCTCGACTCCTCCTCCCTCTCGTCCTGCGCCATCATGACGCCGCCGCGTCCGCCTCCCCTCGCGCCGCCGCCGCCGCCGCGTTGACCTCCGCCACGGTGGCCGCATCCAGCCCTAGCCGCCGCCGCCCTCACGCACTCTCCTCCCTCTCGTCTCTCCCTCTCCCTCTCCCTCTCCCCTTCACGCCGCCGCTGCCTCCGCCTCGCGCCGTCGCCATCGTCGTCCCCGCCGCCTCCGCCTTCCCCTCGCTTTCTCCCCCAACTCTATCCCCCTTCGCCTCACCCCCTTTGCTTTCTCCCTCGACAGGATGACAGCCGCCGGCTGCGGCGTCGCCTCGCTCGCCTGAGGTGGACCGCGCATCGTCTCCTCCGCCAGCAAACCACTGCTCTTTTCCCCCTCTCCTTTAGCTCTCACCGCTTCCATTTCTTCCTCCCCATCAGTGTTGTATCAGCCCTGTGGTCTCGCCCCAAACCCTAGCGCTGTCATGGCGGCGGGGTCGAGCCCCCTTGTGCCAGGTGCCGAGAAGGCGCTGGGGTAGCGGCCTGTCTCGTCCCAATCCGTAGTGCGGCCATGGCCGGCGGGGATGAGCTCCTGTGCACCGGTGGCGTACAAGGTGTTGGGGCGGCAGTGAGAGGAAGGTCCAGCTTGGAGGAGCTGAGGAGGGAGACGCGGTCACGGACCGGTGGCGGTGGCCTTGGATCCAAGCAACAGTGGCGCACATCGCAAGCAGAGGAGATGTTGGAGCCAGGGTCGAGAGGGACGGCAGGGGCATTGCGGAGGTCGGCGCGATGGATTTCGGCCACGGCACGGCGACAACGACGGTGAGCTAATGCCACATCGCATGTTCCTAACTTGGCTATTTGTTTCAATCTTTCATGGATGTGCAGTTCCCAGATGTATATGTTGCTGACAAAGGGATAGCAGCATGCGGGTTTTCCTCATTATTTATGGATTGCTTCAAGATCATGGAAAATGTACTGGAGAAACAAGAGTAAGTCCAGGATCTGTTCCTAATTATTTTACCTCACATTATTATTTCCTGTTACTTTGCTTTGGAAGATCAAACATGCAGTGGTTCACCCCCTATGTTTCAATGGCTTGACAGTGACCATTCTATTTCATCTGGAGTTGCATAAGCCTTACCATGGAAACGATATGGCCTTATGTTGAGGCCCAGTATTCAAGTAAGGTAGTTCTATATAAACACCTCTGCAACTCAAAGCCAAGTTAGTGAGGCCTAACAAAAGGGTCCTCAACTCTATTTTTTCTATTCCTGCATCTATTTTCATGTATCTGTGTTTGCCCCACATTTTGAGGAAGCGATCCTGGGTATACTGGTAAGAATTTGCCCTTTCATTAGAGGGGGGGGGGGGGGGCATCTAATGCAATGTGTGGTTTTCTCCAAACCTATGAGACTGACATATCATTATTTAATACAAATCATGATGCCATTGGATTTTCCCATTCATGTGTTCAGATATGTTGCACAGACGTTCTCCATGATATGTTCAGTTCAGCAGCTGGAGGCAGAGTTGCCACTCGTGGAGAATAACTCTTGTGATCTTTGCATACAGACTACCTGTATGTTGCTTCTAACAGGGGTATGTGCAGCACCACATAACACAAACTCCTCTAAAAGAAACATCTTTCACGTCTACCTGTTTCTGCTAACAAAAGCATTTTGTATTTCTCTCATTCACATGGAGAGTTGATTGGTTTGTTTGCAGGAATTTGTTGGCATTTGAATTCGAGGTTAGACAGTGGGGTTGTGACAAAAGGTGACACACTCACACACTTTGTTTCATTATGGACTCCATCAAGCAGTGTCATGGGCCTCCAAAATTGTTCATACGTGACAAGTATGATAGCTTAACCTCTTCTATTCATGTGTGAGTTAAGCTTGCATCTACTGAAAACTAAAGAGAATGCTGGCCTTCATGGATGTGATCATGCATTTTTTCAGGTATGACATTAGGGGTGAGGGAGCTTGCTTGAAGAGATACACAGACTCGTCCTTCAATACTGGTTTTGCATGTTCTAGGATGCTAGAGCCAATAACTCAAAGAGTAAGAAGACCTCTTAGAGCTATCGTAACGAAACTGAAAATAATAGATTTCTTTAGCTGATTATTTTTGTGGTTGTGGATGATTCAATCCACTCAGACATAGAATCATACCTGACCTAACCTTAAAGATCGAGTGCTTGGCATTTCTTTTCCATTTCTTCTAGGAGATTAGGCCGCCCCTGTAGAATCCTCAGATTTTCAGACCACCTAATGCAGCCAACAATGTCTCCAAGTACCCCCCCCTCTCTATATATAATCATCTCATACTATCCAGTATCCTTTCGCTTCTATTTTCTTCCCAGAAAAACAATATCTTTTTTGTAGGTTGGAGATAGATTTGTCTAGGCACCGATGACTGGAGTACCGACAACTAAGTGGATCTGTGTTTCAAAGCTTCAAACCACATACGTAGAATCTGTACATGAGAATCTTCACCAGATGAGAACCCCTGCTCCATGAACCATTCAGAAGTGTAGATATCTTTCATTGCCTCACCTGACACAAACACTGTAGAGGACATCATGTAGACACTTTCAGTACCATGTACAACGGCAAGTAAAACAAGTATGTGTCAATGATTTTTGCTCATCTCAGCTTAGTGTTATGAGTTTTACATGTGGAATTTTCAGCAGATGCTGTAGGGCAAGGTCTTCCTTTAGAAGATTTACTGCTCTTAGGTATTTTCTAGAGCTTTAACTTTTAGTCATTTGTATCAACATTACTTAGAAATTGTATTTGTATAGCAGCTAACCTGATATTTCAGTTCATCGTCAATTAGTAGATAAATTTCCTAATTTGTACAAGCTATCTTCTGTTCTAGGTTATAGTTGCGAGCTAGATTTTGGCATTGTACTGCTGATTTGCATGCTCTCTAATGCAATCAAGTATATACGGTGCTATCCTTCAGACATATACAATGACAATACATAATGATTGTATTGATATTTCAGTTCGTTGTCAATTAGTAGGGAAAAATGTGGTTATGATGTTGGAACTACTCACAAAAAGAAAAAAATTGTGACAGTAACAATTTCCCCTCAATGGCAGTGCCTCCGTGGTGAGATGGATATGAATTTTTAATATGCCCCTGACAAAATAATTATTCTACATCATTTTCAACGTTTATTATACTAGAGTACAGTGGTGCCATCTTAGATATGCAATGCCATCACTCTGGATGTTAAACAAGAAATGACCGACGTTGCTCTTGGACTTTAAATTACTCTAATGCCAGAATCATATGCATATAACTGGAGAACTTCATCAATTTCTTGCAGCTACATAGTTTGCACCTCAGCATGGAAATCTTCCAAACAAAAAAAAATGGAAGTTTTTAAACAAGGCCTAGATTTGTAGTTTATGCAGACACAGGAAATGGCATGACTAGGTCACTGTTGCATTCTTATTGTGAGACGTAGTCTATGAAATGCAGTATTTGCCATTATCATAGGTCTTCATCTATTTCAATGACACATGAAATTTGCTCCATGTTGATTTGCTCATTTCTAATGGACAATCTTATGGAAACATCAAACTTTTTGTTGCACAGGTCACAGGCAGTCCTTGGTTGTGTGCACCATTCTGCAGGCGAATAAGAAAATTTTTAGTTCCTACCATATGTATTGGGGTATGCCACAAAATTGGAATCCATTTAATCGAATCCTAATGATACTTTGTTAGCTATCACTATGTAGGAATAATGATAATAATAAATTTCAGGTTTGGTGGCTGATATGGATATTGAGTTTGAGTGAGAAGTGCATGCTTTGATTTTGTATTCAGCGTTTCGTTTCTTTAGTTGTTTACTCGATCACCTCTGTCATCAATGGACTACTTGTCTTCATGCACCTTTATGCCATACATGCAAATATGTAGGGTGTAGGCCTCAGGGATAAAAATGCATTTAACAATATGGTGTATATGCAAGCTTAGGCAAAATTTTCAGCTACGAACTTACTCCTTTAGCCTTCACCTAAAAATTGCTTACTATTATTTTCCTGGAGTTGTCCTCAATTTTCTCAACATCACTCATATTCTAGACGCGTTAGTTACAACAAATAATGTGATTACTGAGCAGGAAGTTCAAGAATATCGGCATATTTGTAGGAAAATGATGTCTTCAGTCCAAACTGAGAAAATATTATGGGAGTCTTCTCTTAATTGCTGCCCCAGGCAGCAAGGCATATGGATATGCCATTAACCAACTCAAGAATTGCACTGTAAAATGTCAAAAACTAAATGGAAAGTATTTGTGTTCTTATCAAGGTCTTTCTGTTGAGTTTTAAGGTTCAGAGTTATGATCCCTTGATGGTCCATTTGTGTTGGTTTGGATCAACAACATGCCATGGGCTGCTGATAGTATCATGGCGGCTCTTGGGGCCAAGGTAATTGAATTCTTCGCTGTAACAATTGTTTCTCCAGTAATGTTTTGTCCATATAGTATACTTTGTATTTCAAACCTATCTTCTGAAATGGGGAAAAAGATCCATATTTCCACCTAGGGAATATAGTAGGCATGTTCATTTCTGATGACAAACCTGTGATTAGGACTAGCCATTAGCCATAAGTATTTACTGACCAGAATGTGGACAGAAATCCTTTTTCTATAGTTCTTGAATTTATACAGATCAAGAATAAGGATATTTCTATTTCATCTTGTAGCAAGGCAAACTTTATGATTTGTTCGTTGTAACCACTCTATGAGGTAAGCATGATTTCGTTGACCGATGAAGGGGGTAAACCCTGTTGTGATTTGAAGAAATAAATTGGTATATTGATAATGCTAAAAGAACACTTAGTTGTGCTTGTACTTTGTTATAGGGAACTAGATTGAACTAGGTTTATGTTTTGTTTTCTGGTTCGTTCATCACTTTTTACAACCAAAATAATAACTAAGGTTCTTGCTCAAATTTTTTTTTTGTTATTCTAATACCAGTCAATATAACATCTCCATTGTTCGATATTTCAGTTATATCTATTAAACTACTTCTCCGAAGCTAAATTCAAACTCAGCATGTCACCCTATCCTATTTAACTGGTTTTCTTTTTTACAGCGTGAAATATATGCTATTTTGCCCATGTAACGAAGAGTAGTTAATTTGGGGATCACTGATCAGTGATCACATAAGCATCTATTTTTTCTGCTGAAAAAACAAAACAAACATTTTTTGCGAAAGCATTTGCTGGATAATCTATCTAATTGGTTTATTTGAAAAACAAAACTTCCATTCATGGTAAATTTCTATTTAGGAAAATGAGCTTATGTTTCCTCCAAACAGGGACTTTACCCAAGTTTTTATTGAAGGTCTTTCCATCAAGTATACATTTTGAATGACACCATGGTTTGCTAGCCCAACTGCCTTTCTAGCTGATATTTGATCATGTATATCTTACAATTGCTTTACAAAAGGCATTATTATCCTCTGTATCCATGTTATAATTTGAATCAGTTTCTTCTAAAACGGATTGAGATGTTTCAGATTTCAAAAAAAGGGTCCTAAATCCTATCATCAAAATAATACTTTTGTTGGAGAGTGTTGAATATTTTCAGAGTTATTTAATACGTATTGCAATATTATGTTTTTCTGCTATTTCAATCAGAATTGAGTTGTTGGTGATAAATTTTACCCAAGGCTATCATTTCATTTTCTATTCTGATATTTCTACATAGATTTTCTTTAGAAATTTGTTCGATTAATGCTCTTTGCTACCCTCAAATTTAATTTTTAATCTTGTCATACCAAATACATGAACATGCACCTTTCAAGAATTCGGTGTATTCTAAGCCACACCTCTACCATGAAGCAGATGTCATACGAGGAGTTTTTTGACCTACATCTGGCACAATCACTTAAGAGGTGCAAATAAAAATATGCTCACTATATGATCTTTGTTTTCTCCTTTCTTTCAGCTTTTCAGCCTTCTCTTTTGATTCCTTCAAATGGATAGACAAATTCTTCAACTCTTCCGCCTTCACCATTTGTTCAACAATTCTTTGAGTAAGATCCTTGTTCTTCTCTTTTAAATTCAAGCACTCTTGTCTGGGATCCTGGAGCAATAATGACATTTTATTATGTTCCTCCTTTTTTTTTTTTATCTTAGAACCATGTTTTGTAGATAGCCTGCTCTTCAAGATTTGTCAGTAAAACTTTAAGCTGCAAAATGTCATCTTCAATTTTCTTGTTGCTATCAACTGATACTACTATATCTTCAAAATTGAGACTTGCTGGTACCAACTGGAGCCAATTTCTCTGTGTTTCTTTTTGTAAGCTCGTCAAGTCCTTTAGATAAGCTTCGAGTGTGTCATTTCTATCAGCTTATTTTGCTTTAGTTCACATGTGTACTCTAAGTAGCTTATCACGTCTTTCTCGTTAACCTGCAGGTTTTTAAGGTCATGTCTGAAGAAATCAAGTTACACATTGATCTCCTCAGTCCATCTCAAATAACTTAGCTTCAGTTTCAGTGATGAGTGTGTCCTTTAGAACAGTTGCTAGCTGGTCTCTAATATTGGAAAGGTGGGACTAGAGTCATATTTTTACAGTTGAGGTACATCTATATTTGTTCAGTGTGAAAAACCATCTTGCATCAAACTGTTTGTCATCTATTTCCAAAACTGGGTCTCTTAGACAATTTAACTATGTTTTTGTGCTCATCAAAGGAAAGCCAAGGAAAGCAGGGGCCTGACTCTTCTGACCAAGTTGTTACATCGACCTTGCAAAGGGTAGAGTGAAGATCTCGTCATGATCTCATATCATCGTGCAAATATGTGATTTCATTTTCCATATGCATCAGTGCTTCATTCTTAGAGTATAACGGCTATGTAATAGTTTTGTTCTCTCCAGATTCTGTAACACCACTCGTACGAAATTACTCACCAATGGCTAACATATAAGCCGTTTGATTCATATATATTATATGTGCCTTCAACTTTATTCAGCTTTAATCTTACAAGACCAGTAGTTCAGCCTAAAAACAGCAAAATAATCTAATTAATCCATCTATGTGCAGGCGGCGCGTCCCAACCTCTAGTCTCCTATTACCAATTGCAGCAGACTTGGACTAATGGAATTGCTTGAAGTGAAGACCAGTGAACAAAAGGCTTTACACAAAAAGAATTGTTGACCTCTTTCGGGATAAGGCCCGGAAGAAGCAGGGATTGAACCAGGGCTTGTTGACACAGCAGATATCAAAAGCCTATGTTATCTCATTTTCAGGGACCGAGCAAGGGATGAGCGCCCTCTGATCTAACGTCCAAACAAACAACTGCCCTTGTTACTAGAAATATGAAGCGTGCTAGCGCGCACTTCCTATTAACCAATTCACCAATTTTAAGATTTGTAAACAAAGATAATAGGAGCCGAAGTCAATCCCTTAAAACACTCCTCCCCGAGGGGACGTTATCGGTCGCTTCGTTCCCTTGTTTACTGATCTCTTTTCAGGAGATAGGTCTACCGTTGCAAACTCATCTGCTTGTAAATTCATTGTGTAAAATAACTCGTAAATTCATTGTGCCAGAATTGATCACTGATCAGGTGTGATCAGTCTCATCCGTCTAAGAGACTGATCCGGTGCGATGAGTCTCATCCGTGTAATATTTTGGAATTCCTCTTCCAACTCGTCCCGGAATGGGCGTTATGGCAAAGAACAAGAAGAAAAAGAAAGAAGGAACTTGTCCAATAGTAACAAATGGTGCCTCCACAGGTTGACATCTGATCCAACCTAGTAGTAAGCAATCCGCCAAAAGCAACCAAAATATTCCTTGGTGAATCGGTCGAAAACTTGAACTACGCACATACATTTCTTTAAAAAAAGGTAAAGCCAAGAGATATAAAAACTGGTGCTATTGCGGCTACACCTGGAGTGAGCCCACAAGAGCTTTTACTGTACCAGTTCCGAATATAAGAAGGGGCTCGCGGATTTTAACAGGTTAGGCTTAATCTACCCAATTGGAAATCTCTTGCAGTAGCTTTTACTAGAAATCCATTTCTCCCACAAAGCTCCTGTGACCTAACCATCTAGATAGAAGCCTCGCAAAGAGTATATGCCGAAAATCCTATGTTTGGAGTGACCATGAACACTGCTTGAGACCCTTCTTTCGTGAGAGTTGTGATTCCGCTTTCATGTTTTGGATTGAGCTTTAAGTGGATTGGAGGCGGGCATTTTCATTTCAACGTAGCAGTAGGGAAAGTGATTTCGGGGGGTTAGTACACATGGGCAGTTGGGACAGTTACAGGTAGTTAAGTTCGGTCTTATTCTTATGGGCAAGTGGTCCTAGAATCTCTCTTTCCTTCTCTAAAGTATAGCTTTATGAAACTAGAATATGAGTAAATATAGAAATAGAATAATAAGAATATCATATAGCCGTGTATTGGTTTTGATCCCAGTTTTATCCTACATGGCGGCTGAGTCAGCGTGGGACCCACGTGGACCCACATGTCAGCATGCCACGTTATCTCTTCTTTCTTCCCTTTTCTTCTCTTTTCTCTTTTATTTTCTTCTCTTCTCTTGTGAGGGTAGGCGGAGGCGGAGGCGGAGGCGGTGGCGCACGCCGTTCAGAATGACCGCCTCCCCGTGCGCTCCGTGCTGCAGATGCTCTTTTCCGAGCACGGCAAGCTCAACCGCCTCGCCGAGCTCAGCGGCGGTGCCTCCTTCGGCGCGCCCAGCCTGGTATTCGACCTCCCCGGCGCCCGCTGCCCTCCAAGCGCGAGGTGCTCGCCCAGCACCACGAGCTCCGCCGCCTCCGCGAGGACTTCGCCCGCCTCCAGGTACGGTTTCATCACGGCCATCTCCGCCGCCACCGTTCATCAATTCAAAGCTTTGAGGTGTTCGTCATTGTCTTCGTCGCGACGTGCAGGTCCAGTGCAGCGCGCTGCAGGCTCAGGTGGACAGGCTAAGCATGGAGAGGAGGTGGCACGGTGGCGGTGGCGGGTTCTTCAAGTGGAGCACGTTCTGGTTCGGCGGCATGAGCTCCGACGTCGCGAGGGTGGAGGACTCCGAGAGCGGCATTGAGCGGCGGACGCCGGCGAGCGGGAAGAAGGGCAGGGGAGGCGCACTTGACTAGTTGCAGAAAGAACTCTGCAAAGCTATGTATGCCTCACTTGAGTACTAACTGTTAGGTTTGTCTATTGGATTACCTAGGTTTAGATCTAGTCGGTAGAACACTTTGGATGGATGAACAACAATAGATGAACTAACAAAGAGGAAGTGAGAGGGTTTAGGGATGTGACCGGTCGATGTTGAGGAGGAGGAAGTGAGGCCGGCCATCGTCGTTGTCGTTGTGCGCTTGACGTGGGCGGCGGCGACGATGCTGCGCGGCAGTGGCGGTCGTAGGCGATTCCGGCGAGGTCATGGCGCGACGATGGAGTCTTCCCGTCACTGGCTGTGCCCCCTTGATCGGTTAGGGTTTGTGGGGTGGAGTGGCGGTGGCGACGAACCTCGTGTCTTGTGTCGTCCCGTCCTCCACCCCTCTTTATATGGCGCAGGGTGACGGAGGCCCACCAGCCATTGGGCTGGGCGCCCCCGATCAGGGCGCGGGTCAAGGCCCCCTTGAGCCGTTGGGCTCAAGGAGAGGGAGATCCATCTAACATTCTCCCCCTTGATCTCACTATTTCTTTTAGCTTTTTCTATTCCATCACAGGTTTACATATAGAGCATGTTTCATCGTCACGGTTAATTACCGCTGGATTCGACAGCCACTATACACATCTCTATTCAGAAACAGATACTTTAACTTTTGGGCCCTATAGTCCAGGATTCATAAGGCTTCCCTTAAACACATGCATGCTACATGTTCCTTGAACATGTTGGGAGGTAGGCCTTTCGTGAGCGGATCCGCGAGCATCCTTTCTGTTATAATATGCTCGAGACTGATTGTTTGATCCCGGACTTTGTCTCTCACAACATAGTACTTTATGTCAATGTGTTTGGCAGTACCACTTGACTGATTGTTGTGAGAGTACATTACTGCGGGTTCGTTATTGCAGTATAACTTTATTGGTTTCACAATACTGTCAACCACCTTTAAACCGGGTATGAACTTCTTTAGCCAGTTCACCTGCCCCGTTGCTTCATAGCATGCTATAAACTCGGCATACATAGTAGACCCTGCAGTGATAGTCTGTTTTGAGCTTTTCCATGAAATGGCTCCTACTACCAGGGTGAACACATATCCCGATGTTGACTTTGTATTATCTTTTGCAAAGTCAGAATCTGAATACCCCACTATCTGGAGCGATTCTGATTTTCTGTGAGACAGCATGAGGCCTTTTGTTCCTTGCAAATAGCGCAAGACTTTCTTTACAAATTCCAATGCTCTAGGCCTGGATTACTTTGAAATCTGCCAAGTAACCCGGTAACTAATGCCACGTTAGGTCGTGTGCACACTTGCGCATTCATATAAACAATTTTAGCCATTTATATCTGGTATTGATACTGCCATCTATATTCAGGGCATGTCTCAACATATTGCCAATTATCTTGTTATACACAGAGCTTGAACTGAGATAATGAAGAGATCGCAAAAATGTGTATTCGTGGTCTATTAAATTCTGGCCAATATCAAAATCTTCAACTGATTTTCCTAAATATAATTTTTTAACCATCGCAGTTGTTTCAATATAATTCCCGGGATAATGGATCCTACTCCAGATATGATGGCTAAAAGACTTGTACCGCAATATAACATCGTTACTTTAAAGACACTACAATTATCTGTCTAAACTGAAGCCTGAAGACCATGAGGTTCGTCTCTTTGAATGAACTCCAGTATCCAAATAAATATAGGGGCAAAAATAGAGGAGCAACAAATCAATAAAAAATCAAACAGAGGCAAATGCATGGGAAGGAACATACTGGCACATTCTCATTCCTTGGTAAGAAATAAAGGAATTATAGAATATATAGCTTTGCATTGACCAAGTGGCTTAGGTATAAACCAACTGGCCTGTTATAAACTAACAATATTATCTGAATATCATCTAATACAATATTCAACCATACTTCAGATTTTTAAGGTAGGAAAAATGTACTGACCTCCCTCCTTATTCAGGGTGAACACCTTATTCCAAGTCCATGTATAGATCAAGAATATAGAGAAAATACACTGAGAACTACAATGTGAAGAAGGCAGGAAGAACTGCCCACCTAATGATCTATCATACATATATCAGGAAAGTGAGCTAGTAAAAATGGAGATATAAACAAATGGTACTTTTGGACTTGCCAAATTGGAACACTGGATGCAATAATATGTCAAGATTGTCAGGTTCACCGAGAATCTTTGATGTCATCAGAAAATTTAAGCTTTGCCGGGTCATATGTAATACTTCCAGATTCAAGTCCATGTTTAGTGTCTTCTATTTCTTTCTGACAGCGCTGCTCATTTCCCATTTGCACACCTGATAAGAAGCACAAAAGGGAACTTATTACCAAGGATGAAAGCTGAAGAACTTAGTTTAACATGGCTTGCATGTTCCATTTGGAAAATAAAATTGGCTTCACCTTTACACTCACTATAACAACAAAAATAACCGGCATGTATCATGGAACTATAATAATGTACACCCCAGAGAAGACTGTCTAGACCTCCAAACAGAAAATAACCTCATGAATACTTTGGATGGGAAAAATATTGTTCAGTAGGTGCCAACAAACTAAAACGGTGAAATGTAAAAGGCTTAGAAGTTGGTAATATAAATTACTTCCAATAACCAAATTGCACAGTAGATAACAGACCTACAACATATTTGTTTGGTTCAAAGCACATTGTAGTCAATATAGCAAATTTTGGTTGTATCAAATATTGAGAAAGCCTATGGAAACGGAATTCATGGTACTAATAAACCTGATATGCAAAATGTAAGAACTAACCAATTCAAATTACATATGGATATTTTGTATCCTTAGACAATGGGTAATTCTAAAGATAAAATACAGCATTGCAGTTATTATTATAGATTAATGACAGGCATATATGTCACTCTTGTGTTCCCAACCAAAAAGTACATAGAGAGCTAGACCATGGCAACAGTTCGTATTAATACTGCAACACTAATGTGCAAACAGGTAAAACTAATTTGTATAGACAAATGATCTGTTAAAACTCATGCTCAAAGAATGAAGAAGGGCATCTAGGAGACAAACCGAATCATAATATCAATACACTCAATTCATATACAACATATGCATGACAGAAGGAGATGATTAATTTGATCTGTACCTGGGTGGTGATGTTTAAACATTAGTACTGAATAATCTAGCCTTCACTCCCTTTTTTCTTTCCTTCCTACCAATCATGTGAAACTCACAATGAGCAGCAAATCAAGAATAGAGAGCAGGCGCTAGAACAGATATGTATATATGCATATAATAGGGAGAATCAATGTTTTAGCAGTAGTCATGTTGAAAGAATGAAGAACATCTAGGAGAAAAACCGAAGCACAATGTCCCAATTTACTTGCAGCCGTCGTCACCATACCTTGCCATAGTTTGTGCCTTGCTGCCGTCGTCGCCGTACTTTGCCATAGCCCATGCCTTCCGCCGTCGTGGCTTTGGTGCCCAAGCTGCTGCTCTTGCTCTCCCCATCCTGGCACCGAGGGGAGGTGAGCGGCATGGAGAACGGGTGAGGAAGACAGTGGAGAGTAGCGTTGTACTGCCGAAGAGGGCCACGACCGGATCCACCTGGAAAGTCGAGGGAATCGGACTTGGGATCGCATCAGGCATAGAGGATAGGGTGAGGGAGAGAGAGGCTAACGTGGAGATGAGATGAAAGAGGAGAAGAGGAGTGCAGTGGCTCGCATCCCTCTCGTCCGGGCAACCGACAATCCACCAGCGAGGAGGCCGCTGTTGCCGGATCTGGAAGCCCCGCCTCCTCACTGGTGGACATGACGGACTCGCTTGCCGGCGCGGGAGCGCGGGCACAGTAACAATGGCTGGATGAGGGCACGAGGGAGGCGAAGGACGACGAAGCTACGACAGCGACGGCGCGCGCGAGGAATGAAGAGAAGAGGGCATGGCGGCGCGCGTGCGAGAGGAAGCGGCGACGGCGGTACGGCGAGATAGCTGGAGTAGGTTGAGGCCTTGAGGGAGTGGAAGAGGAGGGAGTTGCGGCAGTGACGACGCACGGGAGTGAAGGAGGAGGGCGAGGCTGCGGCGCGATTGGAGGAGGAGGGCGAGGCGGCTAGGGTTTGTTCAGGCTTGCGAAATCCACACCGTCCGTTAGAGATCCGACGATCCCACGGGTGCGGAAGGGCCAGCACAGTGAGGAACGTGGACGGCCAGATCGACCCTACCTCGAGATCGGACGGCGGATATTAGCGGGGACCGGTGCGTAATTAACCAAAAGTGTAGGGTTTTTTTTGCAAAAATTGCTGATGTGCTGGTAGTCTTCCACCGATCGCACGGCTTTTAAGTAAACCTATATTCCATCCTTCCATAACGTTCAATTTAAAACTCAATCTCTCAATCTACAAATTAAGAATGTATTCTTTCTTATACCTTATAGTTTGAATTTAAACATCCGTGTTTATATTTATTTTGTAGTTTGCATTTAAATTTACATGTTTATATTTTAATCCATAGTTGTATCGAGAAGTATGGACTTACTGGTTATTAGTAGAACTAGATGGTGATGGTGCTGCATGCAAAGCGCAAAGCTTTCGGTACGTAGCTGACGACTACACGAGAACGAATTATTTGGAGGCGTCGAACAGATAAATATTAGTACTATACTAGAAAATCTCGCGCCAAATGGCGCGCCCCATTTAGCATGTTCTTATGCATGAACGTAGAAATTTCAAAAGATTTGGTAGGATTAGGCCAACTTCATTAAATTGTTCATTTAACATGTAGATTTATTCAATTAAAGATCAT